ACTAAAATTAATATATAGGGGTTTTCGTTGGTTTGTTGAATATCTTAAATCTCGAATCTATTTCAATGTTTCTCCTTAATTGTCGAATCATATAAGTGGATAAGATTGTTTTCTCTTTCTTTTTCCACAATTAAGTTGGGTGAAAACACACATATATCCATCAAGTAGAATCGTTAGCTTTCGTATAAACTACAAAGAAACCAATAAGTATTGAGTTTAGCTATGCAGGGAAATTTGAGTTCTGCAATCTGACAAAATCTTCTCATCTTTTCTTATGTTTCTGTTTTTTATCTTTCTTCTTTTTGTTCTTCTCTTACCATATTTCTTTCTACAGTCAGAACATATAAGAAACTTGAATCTGACTACGTTTAATATGATATGGGTGGAACTTCCACGTCACTTTTTAAAACTTTTATGTGTATTTCTTTCTTCATTTCCAAGAGACAAAACAAGACGCATGGCATTATACAAAGTCAATTATAGTGATATAAAATTAGGAATGTTAGTTGTTTTACTCATTTTGGTATACAGCTAATTCAACCCTTTTTGTGTGTGCAAATACAGCTAATTCAGCCTAACAAAAAAGAGAACAAATCATAGCTAGAGTTGTCTTTTGAAACAAAATCGAATTATTAGATATTTTTCCTAACTAGCATCTGTGACTAAACAAAAGCCTACAGTTTTTGCCATTGGTTTTGTTAGCTTTCTTTCCTATTTATTTTTTTGGTAATACATCTGATTTTATGGAATGATTTGTTTTAGTTTTTATTTTTTTTATTTATTTCAGAAATTTTAAGACCCTCCTACACATGGCTATGTGCTATAAAATCCCTACACTCGCCTCTCTATTCTTACATCTCTCTCTCTCTCTCTATCCTTACATCTCTCTCTCTAGATCTTCAATTCCCTCGCGATGTATACTTGCATGGTGTATGCATGCGATGCGACTCCTCCTGAGAGGTTTTCCGGTTATTGTTCTTGTCAAACAATCATCTTAATATTCGTGTAAAACAATCATCTAAATACCTGTGAGATGTCGTGATCATTGTTTATTTTGACGTTTTCTTATGTGATTCAATGATTGCAGGCGTTTAAAGACCGGGATCGTGCTTGCCTGTCAGATAGTTTTGCTATTTTACACACGTAGTGACTGCTCAGGAGAACATTTTCACCATAACGTTTTGTTCTACATAGCTATCATGCCTTGTTCGTATAATCTTATAGACCTATCACGGTATGTTCACTATATATCTCGTTCTCTCTTATGCTTGTTCGTATAATCTGTATTCATGGATTCTCCAATTCAATATCTATTGTTGTTTGCTGAAACTATTAATTATCGAGTCTATTCTAGTTTTTTTTAATATCTAGGTTTTCATGGACTTAACTGTGCTTACCTTTATGAAACCTATATTTATAGAAAACGGATATCTCGTGAATAAGCTAATTTATCCATCAATACGTTGTTAATTTATCCTGTTTCTGTTTACTTGGATTAGTTCATTGGGACTTGGCAGTTATCCTGATGCCCAATTTATCTTGTCCTTCAAAATTGTTAGGCAACTTTATTTGTGCAGATGACTTTGTACACTTTCGTATTGGTTTTTGGTTGGAGTTTGTGGACTGTTTTTTTAAATTTATTTTTTGACAAGTTATTTTTCTTGTCAATGATTAACCATTAAGTTTTCCTGAGTATTTGATATCGTGAAAATTACATGTTACAAGTATTCTGACAAATTTGAAGACAATTAAGCAGAGAGCTGACGGATATCATTCGTGTGTGTATTTTGCAGGGACCATGTGGGCACAATTTCTGTCTCAAGTGTTTTGGGAAATGGACTGCTGGTCAAGGCAAGCGTACTTGTCCAAAATGAAGTTTATATGTAGACTTCTTCAAACAACAATGAGGTAATTAAAATGAATTAACAAATCTTGGAAACAAATTCAAAATGGTATATTTTTATATTCTCTTTCTTGTGTAGGTTGGTGATGAAAGTGGTGCTTCTTGCCAAGTAAACGGTGAGAACGTAGTGTCACAGATCTTCGTGTGAGCCGTCTGTTCGTTCAAACTGAATTCTTCTGAGACGGATGCGATTTTGGGTTTTTTTGATGGAATTAAAATATCTCATCTAAACAATGCAAAATTGCATTCTCCTGAGATGAGTTCAGTTTGAACGAACGTACGGTTCACTCTAAGACTTGTGACACAACGTTCTCACCGTTTTCTTGACAAGAAACACAACTTTTATCACCAACCTACACAAGAAACAGAGTATTAAAAGATATCATTTTGACTCCATTTCCAAGATTTGTTAATTTATCTTTGATTACCTCATTGTTGCTTTCAAGAAGTCTGGATATAAGCTTCAAGTTTCCTTCTGCTTCTGGATCTGGATGCAACGCAGTCTAAATACGGACATTTGGTGATTTAGCTCCACTTGAAAAATGGTTGGTATTTAAGCCTGAGCAGAAACATGAAATAAAGAAGTTTATCTCTGCCAAAAGGTAGGACTTATTATTCTCATAGAGAGCTATTAGCAATCTAATAAATATTTGGTGGATTTTGTTATACTTAATTACAAATTAATCAAATTGTTGCTTGTACTTTGTAGGATGAAACTGATGCGAGCACAAAAGACTGAAAATGTGGAAAACAATTAAAAGTGTGAGAGTTATGTAATTTTCAGAATTCTGAAAACTGAAAATCTTTTAACTCATTTCTTTTTCTCTTTTGTTTATGTTTGGCTTGACTAGATTGTTGGGCTTAATTCTATTGTACAGAATAATGATCAACTGAAACTGGTCCAATAATTTGATTTAAGAAAAACTGATGTGGATTTATGATATGCTTGTTTTATTATATATATATCTCAAAAAATTTACATAATCAGTTATAATCTAATCTTAGTTTTTATTTTTAGTGACAATAATCTTGGATTATACTCCTCTGTTTTAAAAGAATATTTATATATCAAAATTTACCTAAATTAAGAAAAATACAAAATTCAACAGTAAATGCATTATTTTCTGTATTTGATAATTTATATGATTTTTAACCAATGATAATTCAATAATTTCAAGTAGTTTTCTTGAAAGTTACAATGAATCATTATTAGTTAATAAAACTGAGAAAATTCATTAAAAAAAAAACAAAAAATGGGGAAAATTCAACTTTCAGTATAGTCAAAGTCGAAAGTGTTGACAGAAATAAACAAATTAAGTGTTTCTTTGGGAAAACGAGTAAACAAACCTTAAATTATGTAGAACAGAGATCACTGTTTCAAATATTCATCATGTTTGGAAACCAAATTTTCTTGATTAGTTCATGCATTTGTGCGACTCCGTGAACCTTCCACAAATCCAAATTTTAAACTAAAAGTAGCGTAGAACTAGTACTTAATGCAACATAAGAGTTATATTTCAATGAATATTAAAGATTCGTTGGCATGAACTACAACTAATTTTATCTAAAATATTTTTATTCCTTTGCTTAATGGTGTCATCCCTTATATATTAAAAGAGAAGACATTTACAAAAATCCCCTTTTTTTTTAACTTAATTTCAAGTATGTCATGCTGAGGTGTCGCAATTTGCCACACTCTCAGAATATTCTAAAAATAATCTCTTTTTATTAGGCAAGTGCTGAAATAATCATACTATTATTTGCAAAGTCAGAATTTCGAATGGAGGCACCACGTTAACTCTCAGCTTCGGAATTACATAACTACCCTTAATGAAAATCTTGAATAAATCTTTCAATTTCCTTATTATCTTATTTAAAAACGAATTTATTTAATTTTTTAAAAAGACGACGATTTAGATATTTTCCTAAATTATTTTTGGATATATACCGTATAACTAACATATTTCGCGCCACATTTATGGAAGAAATTAAAAAAAAATGTAAAGGATAAAAAATTGGAAAGCCTAGGTTTGTTAGCCGACTCTGTCTTATCATACTATTATTTGCAAAGTCAGAATTTCGAATGGAGGCACCACGTTAACTCTCAGCCGCGGAATTACAGAACTACCCTTAATGAAAATCTTGATTAAATCTTCAAAATTTCCTTTTTTTGTTATTCACGAATTTGATGAAAATCTTACTAATATCTTTATTTTTAAAAATTTATCAATTGTAAATTACGATATTATTTTTCTAAAACACAGAAAAACCTAATAATTTAAATTCTCTATATATACATGTCAAACCCTATGTGATATACAAAATCGGCCACTTTATTTCTTCTTTGCCAACACGTTTCATGAGAATCATAACAAGCATAATAAAATTTTCTCTCTTCGATTATACAGTTTTGTTCTTCTCGACTACGCTAACCGAAACTTCTTGAGTTATCAATAGAGAAGTCTCTACCTAATAGTGACAATCTAGGCTCTGCTAGCCAGTTTAGTCCAATTGAGCGGACAAAACTTTCGGTGCCTGTTTTCAATATATTGTTAAGATCATCCCAACGAGCTTTATTTCGTAGGGTAATCATCCCGACGAGCTTTTTTTCTTTCTTTCTTTCCTTTTGTTTCTTATTATTTTATATTATTAAATATATTTTATTCATGTTGGTTATGAGAAGATTTGATAGCTCTGTTTTATTATTTTTTGTATTATGGTTTTGTTTTCGTAATAGCATTGATTTTGTCGCGAATATGAAGAGAGCTTGAACCAGTTTCCAAACTAAAACAGAAGAAGGTAATTCTCGTGTGATATAAATGTTTGATCTTTACTTATTTTCTATTTCTTTTTGTGTTTTTAAATTACGTAGCTATGTCTTAGTTGTATGAATGCTATTACGTAATATACAACATATGTTACACTTGCTGCAGCCTTTTGTTGTTCTTCTCTGTAGCGGTAAGCTTTGTTGCATATATTAAGGGTAAGGCTTTAATTTGGTTCTAACTCTAGAATTACCAATAATTTACAGTTTCCGTCGTGATTTTTCGTTTAGTACTCATCTTACGGCTTAAATGTCACAAGCCACCAAACCAGATTAAATGAGTAAGACCTTCTGCACGAGCCATACTAGGAAGAAGCTTAGACCTACAGACACAACCTCTACTTGGTTTAAGCTTTCTGTTTTAAAGGCCATGTTCTTAAGATAGCCTTTACGTTCAGGATCGTCATCCAGTGCGAGCAAGACTATCAGCTTGGGCTGTTTGCACAAGTACACTGTCGTACTTGCAACACCCATTCTGAAATAAGAGATCACCTTTTTCCTCATTGTGAGCAAGTGTGGAACGTGGTGATACGTCGTCTTGGACAACCCTCCTATATGTTCCACAATTGCTGAGCTCTTAACAGCTTCAGTCAATGTTTTTTTAACGCTCAAAAGGGTAGCTTGCATGCTGTCTATATGTTTAGGAAGGAGCGCAATCGGAGATTACACAACAACATGTCCTTTCCGCCGGTTGTAATCTCTTCACTCTTCTCTCATATTGAGAGGTGCACTGACATGCTGTCTACCTTACTTCTCTCTTCAGCAGAGTGGTTCTCTCACGAGTAACGTAATCAGCAAATTCGTCTTTAGCAATTGCTTCATCTAGCTTTTTTTTTCTAAATCTTTTTTTTTGTGTCTTATGAAACTTTGATTTACGCCAATCACGAGTAAAGTATCACGTTCCTTTTGATAATTAAATTCACATTTGCATGCATCCCAAAATGTATGTACGAAAACTAAATTCGTAGATTAAGATTTATAAGCAAAAATAATTGTGGGTCTCCAAACATTCTGAAACATTCATATTTGAGAGACTGGTATGATCCAAACTAACTTATATTCCAACAGTTGCATTCAAGGTCAATGAATTCTTCTTTTTATTCACTTGAAAACCCTAATAACAAGAAGGACGTAATACACTAACATTGCCGATTAGAAACATACCAAAAAACAAGATCTTTTAAAAAAAGATTATTTTTTTCTTTACCGATCTAACACTAACGTTGCCAATTTAAGATAAAAAGAACAACAACTTTCTTAAAAAAGAAAAAATATAAACAAATTTAGAACAAGTGTGTAATGTGGGGCTATGGTGTACTGTTGAGGGGGGTTTATAATGTAGGCTTATGGTTTAGGATATAGAGTTTATATTGAAGGGTGTAGGGTTCAATTTTTGGTGTATTTAAAAAAAACGTGATTACAATAACATTGACGATTAAAAAAATATATTAAAAATTTCTTTAAAAAAAATCATTTTACCTTATCGATGTAACACTAGCATTGCCGATTTAAAATAAAAAGAACAACAACTTAAAAAAAAACAATATAAGCAAATCGAGAGCAAGTGTGTAATGTGGGGTTATGGTGTACTGTTTAGGAGGGTTTATAATGTAGGGTTAATGTTTAGGGGGGAGGACGGGAGGGAGGGGAGGGGGTTATAATGTGGGGTTTGGGTTTGGGGTGTAGGGTTTATATTAGTGTGTAGGGTTTAGTTTTTGGTGCGTTTTAAAAATTTTGAATTATTATTGAAGTATATCAAAACTAAAAATCATTGATTATAAATTTGTATCTACCATTTTAGAATACAATCACAAATAACTAAAAAATTATAACAAATCCAAAATCAAAAGAAAACGACACCAATAGATTTTTAAAAGACCACAGTTATATAAAGATAAAAACTGTTTAGTGAATCCTTAAAAATCTAAACTATCAACTGAATTGAAAAGTAAAATAAAAGACATAAGAACAAATAAAAACTGGAGTAAGAAAAAGAATATGATGATAAAGAAGAAGAAAACTCGAAGAGTATGAAAAAGAATTAAAAGAAGAAGAAAATGGAAGCTGAATACATTCAACATATTAATACATTCTTTCACGAATAATAAATTTGAAGTAGTGTACACTGTTTTGTGCACTAAACTAAGTGGACAAAGATAAAATATTTAAAATAAAAATAAATGATGAGAATGACTAATGTACTATATAAATAACTCTTCTTACATATTTAGTTTGGTAAAAAATAAAAATACTCAAGTTTTTAACATAATAATTTAGATATTTTTTTAATTCATTTTTTTCTCAGATCTCAATGTAATGTTTTGAATTATGTATGATTTTCTTTTAAATAAAAAAATAGCTTTTAAAATAGCTCTATTTTACTGATTTGTATCTCTGAGCCAATCTAGCAATATTTGTTGTTGACAGAAAAAAAAATGAAAATCATTATATTTTATGTTTATATATATACCACAATAATGAAACAAATTCTTATTTTTAAGTAAAATTGTATAAATTTGGTAAAAAATAATATTATATATATATATATTAATTTCATACACGCAAATAAGTTTAAAAGTCAACAATCCAAAATTTTATTATTTGTATTATCAAAATCTTTAGTTAATTAATTAATTTAAAAATAATGTACCCGCACAAGGTGCGGGACAGCCACCTTGTTATTATTAATTTAATCAGAAAAATAATTATTAATTAAAATTATTTTTTTCTATTTTCTTATCTGGTAGTGACGAAAATTATAAATAAATTTAAAATTATTTATTAATCAATCAATCGGTAAAATATGGAAAGTTTTATTCAATTGTATTATATTAATTGTTTAAAAATTAATTTATTATCTTATCATTTTTTTAACTTTACTTTTTCAAAAATAAATTATATCATTACATCAAAATATTTCATAAAACAAAATTAGTTTTTTTTCTGCATATGCTATGATTTGAAAATTTTAAAATGAAACAAATCTCTAAATTTGTTAAAAGTCCCATATCGATTATATTTTGGGATGATAGTTCAAAAACCTATTATAAAAAAAGATACAAATAATGATCAACCATAGTAACAAAACTGATTTATTAGGTTTCCAAACTTTAATTTTTTTAATTTGATTTAATTTTGTTCTTTTTATTGAACTAAAAAAACAAATCATAATAAAATCTAATAACTTAATATATAAGTTAAACTATTTTAGTTATTTAAAATTGATCAAAAATACTAAATATATATGCCATATAAAACTATTTCAAACTTATTAAAAGATATATATTTGGATTAAATTGTGTCACTTAATATTTCGTCATGTTCCAATCCAGGCTAAAAAAATATACATCACTCAAAATTTTGTCTAATGTACACTGACATATTTTTTATTGTCTGACATCCTATTTTTCTAGAATGATTCTTATGTAAAAAGATATCTAAAAATAAAACTAAATCAAGAAAATGTCACCCCGTGCAGGGCACGGGTCCAACCCTAGTGAATAAACTAAACGTTATCCTCATATTACAGTTGTGCCCTCATTGATTATTTCCTCAATAATGATTGTAGAAAATATATCTAGAAACTGCAATTAAATAAAATAAAAAGTACATAGATTTCTTAATAAAATACACAAGTTATTCACCCCCACTTTCTAACTTATCAGAAGAACCTTGTGCTTTAACCTAGTGTGTTCATTGGCAGATATGGTAAAGTCCTCAAGAAGTTTACAAACTCCTCTAGCGAGTTGTGTGAAGAACCTCCATTCGTAACAGAGGCTCTCAGTTTCTCCTTCAAAATGATGGCTCTCTTCCTCATCTCCTCAGCTTCTTCACCGATCAGTAACTTCCTCACAGCTCTCTCCACCACTTCTCTTCCTAGCTCACCTTCCACTTGAATCCCAGCTCTCCAAACACAATCCAAGTAGCTCGCGTTCACCTTTTGATCAGTCGAAAACGGCCTACAAATCATTGGAACTCCTTCCCCGAGGCTCTCTAGTGTCGAGTTCCATCCACAATGACTCCAAAACCCTCCTACTGCCTGATGAGCTAGTACTTCTTTCTGCGGAGCCCATTTCACAATGTAACCTCGACCCGAAACCATCTTAAGAAGCTTCTTAGGCAAGCACTCTATCCATTCTGAGCCACGTATGGAGCCTGGTAGGACCACCCACAAGAAGGGTTATCCGCAAGCAGCCAGTCCTGAAGCTATTTCAATCACCTCTATAATTTCCATCAAAGCTAAGCTTCCCAAGCTTATGTATATCACCGAGTTTACCTTTTGCTTGCTCAACCATGTTATACAGCTGTTGTCCTCTTTAAGCAGACTTGTAGGAGCTGAGGCCATCATGTGAAGTGGGCCTACTGGATAAACAGGAATTTCTAGTCGTTCTTGTTGTAGCCGAGAAAGAGATGAGCTCTCTAGACAGCTTGCCGTGTTGATTATCACAGAGGAAGCTGTCCGTTTGTCAACTATATTCCGGTACAGCTCCGTTATGCTTTCTAAAGATGCCCAACGTGAAACCGGAAAGTCTTTGTATCGTAGGGGATGAAACTCTGGCACTAGCTCGTCTTCTTGTCCTTTAGGTTCTGAAAACAAAGGTCAAGAAGAACCATGCAGCTGTTACAGATTATAGCACTAGAAAAAGAAACCGTAAACAGAGAATGAATAGAGTACCATTGTTTTCATTTTTTCATAGACTTTGTGGAATGCAGAGCGGCAAACAAAAGCGGTGGCACTTGTGCTGAAAATAACGTTTGGAACGTTAAACTCTTTGGCTGCGGCTCCAGCAAAGTACATGACCTCGTCGTAGATGACACATGAGATCTCGTAACTGTGTTGCAATAACAGGTGACCTAAACACTCCTTGAAGGCCACCTAACACTCTCTGCTACTGGTCCGAGATTCTTGAAATCAGACTCCGGTAAGCTCTTTGGAATGGTGACAAAGTGAAACTCAGGGAAGTCTTCCGAAAAGCTTACTTGATGATGGAAGACCCCTTGAGCAACTGTAACTGAGAATCCCTTCGAGTTTAGGGCTTGACGGAGTTGCATCATTGGAGTTATATGTCCTTGTAATGTTACTGGAACCAATACTACTCTTCTCCTCGGGGGCTTTTCCTCCATATCCTAAGTCTCTAATAAAACGAAGAAGAAACGGTATTTACTTTAACAAACTAAATTTCATTCAATCGAAATATGTTTTGTGTAAGTAAGATGGATGGCTCTCTTCACCAATCAGTATTAGATATTTTTATAAGACAAGTTAATGGTGAGTGGCTGGGTCTCTTCACCATTCAAAGTTGAACGGTAGAAGTAACTAAAAGATAAAAGCATTGATGCTTCTGTCTCCTTGTTCCAAGCCAAAAAGAGATATATTATTTTAACTGCTTTTTATTTCCATGAAAAATACATGTGCTTTGTAAAAACAAAAAAAGAAATTTAATTATTTATAGACATTAGTATTGATAATTTTTTTATAAAAAGTGACGCAGTCGGAAAACCCTAGGAATAGCAAGCACTAAACCTAGATTGAATTCGTGAACTTGAAGAGAAAACTCTGGAAATCCACCAGATTAGAGAAAAGCTCTCTGCTTTGATTAATTAGAATAATAAGATATCCCTTATGGCTACAACTTATAGGTGTTTATATAAGAAAACAAAACCCTTGAATATCCAAAACTAAAAAGGAAAAACATAATTAAAGGAAAAGGAAGATTAGGAAAATCTCAAAAAGAAAAATAAGGAAAATAAGGAAACTCTCTTAAACTTCTCCTACATCAGTCTCCTCCACCTCTGAAGAACTCGACCTCGAGTTTTCTTCTGGATAAAGAACTCCATCTGCATGGTACTCATGAATGTCAGCCACATTGAAGGTATTAGAAATGTTCATATTCTCTGGAAGATCCACAACATAAGCGTTATCATTGATCTTGCGCAACACCTTGAATGGACCATATTTGTGAGGTTGCAGCTTGCGATATGTGCCAACTGGGAACCTTTCCTTACGAAGAAACACCATAACCTCATCACCTTCTTTGAAGACTTTGACTCTCCTCCGTTTATCTGCAGCAACTTTGTTCTTTTGTCCGGTAGCCTCTAACTTAGCCTTGACAGCTTCCTTAGTAGCCATAATCTCTTCAGCCATAGTCTCAGCTGATACACTAACTCCAGGACATTTAGGCAACTTTACCAAATCAACCACATGCTTAGGAACAGAAGTATAGACCAAAGAGAAAGGTGATTTCCCTGTAGCTGAATGCATTGCGCTGTTGTAAGCAAATTCCACCTGAGGTAAAGCTAAATCCCACTGTTTGGGCCTGTCACCACAAACACTTCGAATCATGTTCCCCAAAGTTCTGTTAGTTACCTCAGTTTGCCCATCAGTTTGTGGATGAGCTGTGGAACTCCTCTTCAATGTTGTTCCAAACATTCGCCAAAGAGTAATCCAAAAATGACTGAGAAACTTGGTATCTCTATCTGAAATTATAGTTTTGGGAACTCCATGGAGACGGACGACCTCTCTGAAGAACAATTTGGCTATGTTGGATGCATCTGCAGTCTTCTTGCAAGCGATAAAATGCGTCATTTTGGAGAATCTGTCTACAACCACAAATACAGAGTCTACACCTCGTTGTGTACGAGGTAATCCCAACACAAAGTCCATAGACAAATCTTGCCAAATATCATCAGGAACAGGTAAAGGCATATAAAGACCAGTATTTTGAGATTGACCCTTAGAAGTCTGGCAGATATAACACCTTTTGACAATAGCACCAGCATCTCTCCTTAGATGCGGCCAATAATACCTTTCCTCCAAGCTAGCAATAGTCTTGTCTCTCCCCAAATGACCACTAAGACCACCACCATGTAAATCTCGAATCAACTTCTCTCTTAACGATGAGCAAGGGATGCACAACCTATCTCCTTTGAAAAGAAAGCCATCTCGAATATGGAAATCTGCAGAAGGATGCTTACCATTGCACTTATCCCACAATTCTTTGAATTCAGCATCACTTTCATACAACTCCTTTAGTAACTCAAAACCCACAATCTCATGTGCCAAGGTAATGAGTAAGGAAGCTCTTCTACTCAAAGCATCTGCTACCTTATTGAGAGTCCCAGACTTATGCTGAATAATGAATGGAAATTTTTGCAGAAAGCTTACCCATCGAGCATGCATCTTGTTTATCACTTTCTGACTATGAAGGAACTTCAGAGCTTGGTGGTCAGTGAACAAGATAAACTCTCTCTGAATCAAGTAATGCTCCCACTGCCTTAGAGCTCTAAATACTGCATAAAACTCTTGATCATAAGTACTCCATCTTTGGCGAGCTTCACTTAACTTCTCACTAAAGAAAGCTACTGGTCTTTTCTCTTGAGATAAGACAGCACCTATTCCAACTCCACTAGCATCACATTCAACTTGGAACACTTTATCAAAATCAGGCAATGCTAAGACTGGTGCAGTACATAGCTTCTCCTTAATTAAAGCAAAACTCTTGTCTTGTTCAGACCCCCAAAAGAATTTCCCTTTCTTCAAACACTCAGTAATAGGAGCAGTAATGGTACTAAAATCTCTAACAAATCTCCTATAGAAGGTAGTTAGACCATGAAAGCTACGTACCTCAGTGACTGATTTAGGGGCAGGCCAATCCCTAATAGCTCTCACTTTCTCCTCATCAACCTGAATCCCTTCTTCACCAACAACAAATCCTAGAAATACCAGCTTGTTGGTACAAAATGTACACTTCTTCAGATTAACGTACAACTGGTTTTCTTGTAAGACTTGCAAAACCTGCTTCAAATGATCCAAGTGCTCTTCTTTGGTCTTGCTGTAAATTAAAATATCATCAAAGTAAACAACCACAAAAGAACCAGAGAATGGTCGAAGAATCTGGTTCATCAATCTCATGAAAGTGCTAGGAGCATTTGACAAACCAAAAGGCATCACCAACCATTCATACAATCCATCTTTGCTCTTAAAAGCTGTCTTCCATTCATCTCCAGGCCTGATTCGAATTTGATGATATCCACTACGAAGATCTATCTTTGAAAATATCTTAGAACCCGCCAACTCATCAAGCATATCTTCTAGTCGAGGGATAGGAAATCGATACTTGATGGTTATCTTGTTAATAGCTCTACTATCAACACACATTCGCCATTGGTTGCCTTTCTTAGGAACAAGAAGGACTGGCACTGCGCATGGGCTCATACTTTCTCGAATAAACCCTTTCTTCAGCAAATCTTCAATCTGTTCCCTTAAAATCTCATTCTCCTTCGGACTCATACGATAGTGAGGAAGGTTTGGTAAGCTAGAACCTGGAATCAAGTCAATATGATGTTGAATATCTCGCATAGGAGGCAGGTAATTTGGCAATTCATCTGCAGTCAACTCCTTGAAATCTTCTAGAATCTCTAACACTTCTTCTGGAGTTGTTGCTTCCCCATTCACCACACTCATTAACCCTTTAACTACCACAGGGAATAAACATTTAGTTTCTTTGAAAGCTTCGTCTAGCTCCTTTTCACTATGTGTCATTACCAAGAAATTGGTCTTCTTTTTTCCTGCGCTTTTATCAAAATCCAAAACAGGAGCCATAGCAATTTTATGTATTCCCCAAGTGAACAATATCACATTATCGCGTCCTCGATATGTGATATCTTTATCATATTGCCAAGGTCGACCAAACAAAACATGACAAACATCCATGTCAAGAACATCACAAATTACCTCTTCCTTGTAGTGTTTCCCAATGGAGATGGGAACTTTGCAAGTCATTGTGACTCGAACTTGTGAGCCCTTCTTTATCCACCCAAGAGGATAAGGGTTCTCATGTTCTTTTGTTGGCAACTTCAGAAAATCAACCAGCTTTTGAGAAACCAAATTCTCTGTGCTTCCATTATCCACAATCACATTACACACTTTGTTTTGAATTGAGCAGTGTGTTCTAAACAAATTCTTGCGTTGTCCTTCGTCCTTAGATGACAATAAGATTCTCTGAAGCACAATGTTTATCTTCTCATGTGACTCCTCTTCAGCAAATTCAACCCCTTCATATTCATCATCCTCATTAAACTCTTGTTCTTCGTCTTCTTCTTCTCCTAGCAAAGCAACAGTTCTTCTGCTTGGACAAACATTTGATTTGTGACCTTGTCCTTGGCAACGATAACACTTATCAAGAGATGGTTTAGCATAAGGATTATTCTGCCTTTGAGCTGGTGCTTTACTCTGCTGAGTAGTGGTAGAACTACTAGCTCCTTTATTTCCTGGGATCTTTGCTTACAACATTCTTTTCCTTTTCGTTTGCTGCCTCGTAGTTATTCTGAGGTGTAAACCTCTTGAATGAAGAAAAACTGCGAGTTGACTTCTCCATTAGCTCAGCCTTCAAAGCTAAACTAGAAGCCTCTTGCACAGTCCATACGGTCTGCAAACCAAATCTCTCTTGTATAGAGCTTCTTAAACCACTGATGTATCTAGCCACCTTTTGATTATCTGTCTCTCCTAGGTCATTGCGTTCAGAGAAACGCACAAACTCAGCTGTGTACTCTGTCACTGTTCGTTTACCTTGAACACATTCGAGATACATCTTGTAGAGAATCTGCTCATAGTCTTCTGGTAAGAACCGATCAAGCATCAACTGCTTCATTCTACGCCAAGTCTTGACTGGTCCTTTTCTTTGCCTTTGTCTTTGGACAACAAGTTTATCCCACCATACAGCTGCAGTTTTCTTCAGCCTGATTGCTACCATCTTAACTTGTTTTCTTTCAGGAACACCCATCACATCAAAGAATCTATCAACATCAATCTGCCAATCCAGAAACTCCTCCACTCCCATAGTTCCATAGAACAATGGAATATCAGCCTTTACTCTATAATCATGATTGTTTTGTCGATTCTCTTGATCAGCCTCTTCTTCGTCCTCAAGATCTTCATCATCAGAACTAGAGATTTCAACATTAACACCACGATTGTTTCCACCATGTTGAACCCTAACTGGCTCTGCGGCACGATTGTTTCTGCCCTGTTGAACCCTAATTGGTTCTCTTCCCCTATCTCTTTGCCCTGCGTTAACAACTTGATTGGTAAAAGCTGTTAATTGAGTCGTTAACGCCGCCATCTGATTCCTCAAAGCAGTGAGGTTCGTGGTTAAAGCCTCCGAAATACCCTCAATATCTGCTTTGGCCAACGGTTGATCTCCCATAGCTGTTCAAACTAGAAAAAGAGACAGGAAAAAGCCTGCTCTGATACCACTTGACGCAGTCGGAAAACCCTAGGAATAGCAAGCACTAAACCTAGATTGAATTCAAGTTCACAAGCATGAACTTGAAGAGAAAACTCTGGAAATCCACCAGATTAGAGAAAAACTCTCTGCTTTGATTAATTAGAATAATAAGATATCCCTTATGGCTACAACTTATAGGTGTTTATATAAGAAAACAAAACCCTTGAATATCCAAAACTATAAAGGAAAAACATAATTAAAGGAAAAGGAAGATTAGGAAAATCTCAAAAAGAAAAATAAGGAAAATAAGGAAACTCTCTTAAACTTCTCCTACATCAAAAAGTATAAAGGCAAACAAACAGAATCGAATTGTTCACCTGTTTACACAATGCTTAATTTAGAATGTGTCATTTAACAAGTCTGTGAATTATTTTCTTATTTAGAGTATCTATTTATAAAAGTTATCATTTGATAAATTATGAGTGGCGAGTATGAAAGGCGAAGAAGCTTTTTCATTTCAATATATTTTTGATGGAGTCGTAGTTCTGCATGCAACTCCGATGAAATCTGATAGACCACTCTTTCTTATTCGTTTTCCTCATTTGCTGCCTAAGACTTTTAGTAAGCACTACCATCTTCATATATGATAGCAACCTGTATCAAAGGATAAAAGCTAAACATCATGATGTTATGCGGCGTTCAGAACCAGCCTTGAAGTGAATGAATTCGACAGAAAGACCCTATGAAGCTTCAGTGTTCTTGGGATTGGCTTTGGGCTTTTCCTGCGCAGCTTAGGTGGAAGGCGGAGAAGGCCTCCTTCGGGGTGGGGGGTGGGAGTCATCAGTGTGATATGCTAGAATTCTAACCTTGTGCCAGGACCCAATTTGGAGTTTTTTCCAATCAATTCGGAAATCAGATAGTTGACTCTCCCAACGGGCTCATAGAATTTTATAAAATAGTTTACTAAAACGTTGAATCATAAAGCTATTTTTTTTTTACATCATTCATATCTACGTAGAAAATAATACAATCAAACATGTACGTAGAGTTTGAAACATGGAAGAATTTCTAGACAAACAGATAATATACGTACACTCCTCACAAATTTTTTTCTAGATAGTCAAGCAATGCCTATCAATCAAAATTATTAACCCTCTCTCCCGGAACTATTTCCTCTTTTAAATGTTTAGTTGAAAATTTTCAGTTGCTTTTTGCATTATAGGCATTGCTTAACTAAATTTTGATACACCTAAATCAATCTAGCAAGTATACGCATCGGTGATGATTTATTGTATTAATATTGGCTTCTATATACAAATTTATCTTGAAAAAGGTGAGAGGAGAAGCAAATAAAAATTGGAGCCCGCACTCTTGTGGTCCAGTGGTAAGGGGAAGCCTTGGTGAAGGGTGAAACTCCCAGACCCGGGTTCGATCCTCTTTGGAAACAAAATCACATTTGTATGGGAAGTCTGTCAGTTGGGCATTACCTGGTAATTAGAAATGCAGGCGGCCTGATTACCCCCTGGCATTAGTCGGAAGGCAGTGTGATAGTCCATAGGATGAGTCCATTTTGTAGCACATTGGTGCATTCCTACCGGGGCTAACCGCCGATAGGGTCTATTAAAAAAAAAAAAAAAAAAAAATGGAAAGTAAATTTAGTGAAAGAGATTATCAAGTACAAGTCACAAGAGGATCTTAAACGAATTAAGCACCTTTATGCTGTTGTGCAACGTTTATAAAGTTAATGGAGTTAACAGTTAAGTGAAAAAAGATCTAAACGAAGCACTTAATCACTAGCAGAACATTAAGGCACAAAAAAAAAAACGCATGATATAACACAATGTCAGTTGATAATATTAAATTAGGCCAGATTATTATACCAAAAGCTGATTAAAAACAAATCACAGCTGGAGTTGGCTGAGATCTCTTTCCTTGCTGGGAAATGTAAACATGAGATATTTTACTTATAAATGAGACGGTTAAAGCTTCTTACCAATAATCCTTCTTACTAATAGACATGGCAGTTTTTAATCTTCTCAGTGAGCTCCACACAATGAAATCCGATTTTCATATCTGCGCTAAGGTCGTTCGGAGATAGACAAATCAAACAAAATGGTTCCACACAATATATATATATATATATAATATTTATATGATGATTATTAATTTATGATATTATTGGAACCATATTTTACATAGTAGTTTTAAAAACATTATTATCTTATCGAATTGTTTTATATTTTACAAAGGTCCAACTCGGGATCGGAAAATTTTATTAGTTTATCGTGTTTATTAATTTATCGAGTATTAATAAACACGATAAATTAATAAAATCTCTCGGTCCCAAGTTGGGCCGTTGTAAAATATAACACAATATAATAAGATAATAAGATAATAATTTTTTTTCATAATCCTATGTAAAATATGGTCCCAGTAATATCGTAAATTAATAATTATCATATAAAAGCTTATAAATATATATATACTAAGTTAAGCTACTAATATATGAATTTAATGTTTGCTTTTTTCTTAAAGTTGAATTATTTCTGAAGCTCATATCTAATTTTCTTACTGCATCTAAAAGTTATGAAGAGTTCAAGATGTGATAATCGTCTTTTCATGCGTAACTGCATTTAAAGAAATTATAATAGTGTGAAAAAATTGAAAAAAGTGTAAAGTAAATACAGAAATATCAAGAATAAAATTAAGAAAATATTTTTTAAAGGGAAATTTCTTATTTAACATAAATGAAAACTGAGAAGATTATTATCATTAAATTTATTTTTGTTTAATATTATTTAGTCAAAATCGTTAAAGTAATAACTCTATAAATTACTTCCTTCGTTTCAAATTAGTTGTCCTTTGGCAAAATGTATATGCAAATATTTGGATGTATCTAGATTAAAACACATTCAAATACATCCAAATATTTGCAGATACATTTTGCCAAAATTACAACTAATTTGAAATGGAGGGAGTAATAAAATATCAAAGTCTCATTATTCTTAATTTATAGAGTTTCTACTGTACATTACCTAGCGACTTGGAGATATATTGAGCATGTCAAAAGAAAGCTGAATAAGTACAAAATATTTTGACCAGAAAAGACCTTTTGTATCTTACGATTATGGAGAATTGGTGATTTCAAAGCTAATATTATCGTCCAAATTTATATTGTTATCTTGTTTAGTCTAAACATGCTATATAAAAATAATATCGATAGTTTGATCTACAAAATATGTGTTTTTAGTAAAATGTCTATGACTTGGTGTGTTTTTATAAATCTCCATATGCCTATACAATAATTTTTGCCAATATTATTTGATACGGAAAGCTATTGCGTTTATTTGTATAGAAAATGTAAGAGTGACAAGTGTTGAAGGAGTTTCTCATATTCTGGAGGATGTTGCTGATGAAGGATTCGAAGAGTACTTTATAAAAATAGAAAAAAGAAATTGTTTACCTCTGGGTCAAGTGTACGGATGTACGGTATGAAAAGGTCACTGGACACGAGACGACTGTCCTTTTGATATCTCTTTTGTAACTAAATCTTTCAAGATCTAAATTATCGCACTGCATTTATATAGGAACTATGATGACAATTTTGTTGAGTTTTGGGGTCATAAACTATGCTGTAACTGGTGACCAAGGAATGAGGGGGAATAAGATAATTCCCCTTCATTCCTTAAAAATTACACAATTTATAAGGAATATATATTCTATATTATTCCTTATCATTCTATATTAATTAGGGAATTATAGTGTTAAAATATTCCTTATAAAATATGAGGAGGAATGAGTTCTATATATTTTATTCCTCTTCATTCCATTCCTTCTCATTCCTTTTGTTCCTTTACAGGTCACCAGTTAGAGCCTATGTTTGTTTTTTTTGTACTATGATTTTCCCTAGTGCTTATTAATTGAGAAGTACATGATAATTTTCTAGCCAAAAAACCAATCTAATTATAAAGATTGGATATAAGAATAAGAGAAAAAGCTATTTGGATAGAAGAATAAATGGAAAAATTTGTTTAGATACAAGAATAATAACTTAAAACAAACTGATGGTTTAAAAAAGGGAAAATTGCATTTTTAACCTTCAAAGTGACAAATGCTAGCACTTTAAACCTCAGCATTATTTCACTCACATAATTGCGTTATTTCACTCACTCAGCACTTTAAAACTTCCATTTTCCAGATCTTAAAAATCTGCAAAAAAGAAACATTAACATAATCAATCGATAATACCAAATCGATAGAATATGATTTTGGATTTTCTGGTTTTTTTTTTTTTAATTCTGGTTCAATTCAGGTTTCTTATAAAGTTTTTTTTTTGTTTTAGGATTTAATGATATAAAAACCGTTCAAGTTTTTAAAATTTCTGGTTCGGGCTTGGTTTGGGGTTTTCTAGACAAGTTCGGGTTTGGTGAAAATCTTATGCCTAATTTTATAGAGATATAGAGATATAAAAATTGTTCCCTTTTTTTATGAAAATTTATGTTCGGTTTGGATTTGAGTTTATTTGGGTTCAGTTCAAGGTTTTCCAGATTTTTTGAATTTTGGGTTTTTGAGTTTAGACATATTAAAAAAGTGTGGGTATTTTAAACTTTTGATTAGGGTTTTTAGGTGGTGTTCGGGTTTTGGTTCAAAAAATTTAGGGTTTAGGGTTTAGTTCCTTTTTCGGGCATTTCTTCCACAATTATCCACCATAAATAACTAACACTTTCTGCATAAACTACAAAAAAAAACAATAAGTATGGCGTTTAACTATGCAGGGAAATTTGATTTCTGCGATCTTTTCTTCTCATCTTTTCCGACTTCCTTCTTTTCTTCTGTTTCTGTTTTTATCTTTCTTATTTTTGTTCTTCTCTTACGAGATTTCTATCTACAGTCATGAGACTCATGACATATAAGAAACTTGAATTTAATATGATAATTCATATCTCGAACCAAACTTGGTTTTTGTTTTCATCCTTTAA